GGGAAAGAGAGAAAGCTAGCCACCAGGCCTAGGCCGTGAACCATGGTTGACCATGTGGGAATTTAGTGCCTTCAACCACCACGCCTCCTGCTGGCCCCAAGATTTCTTTTTTCAGCACAATTACCATGCATATCAGCCAAGACAGAGACATTACTATACATATCAGCAGCAGCAAATAGCTTTTCATTTTTTTGTCTATTAAACATACTTTTTCTCCTTTTTCTTCTCCTGTTCCCCTCTCTCCCTCCATTACCCATCCCCTATTACCCCATCTTTACTATCTCTAGTGTCCGCCATTGCCCTCCCTGCTACTATACCCTCCAGACATTTAGTTTCTGCCATAGAGTGCAGATAATCAGTATATATTGAGTGGGGACATAAAAGTCTGTTTTTCACAGTCTGACTTGCTTCACTTAGCATTAAGTCTTCCATATTGGTCCACTTTGTATCAAATGTCAGGGCTTTGAGTAGTATTCCATAGAGTACATATACCACCTTTTGCTAATCCAACTGTCTCTTTTTGGACATTTGAGTTGATTCCATGTCCTAGTGATTGTAAATAATGCTGAAATAAACATGGATGTGCAAGTATTTTTCCAGGTGAGAGTTTTCCTATCCTTTGGGTTAAAAAATAAAGGTGGAATTATTGGGTCATATGGTAGTTCTATTTGTAGGTGGCCATGGAATCTCCATATCGTTCTTCAGAATGGTTGTCCTAATTTACATTTCCACAAAAGGGAGGCTTCCCTTTTCACCACAGCCTCGCCAGCACTTATCATTATTTATTTCCTTAATTTTAGCCACTCTCACTGTGGTTTTGATTTGCAGTTCCCTTATGATAAAAGATGTCAAGCATGTTCTCATATGCTTTTGGGCTGTTTGTAGGTCTTCAGAGAATTGTCAGTTCAGCTCATTTTCCCATCTTTTAATTGGATTGATTATTTTTTTGTGGGTAAGCTGCTTGAGTTCCCTGAGTATTCTGGTTATCAGTCCCTTATCTGAGGTATAGTTTCAAATATATTCCCCCACTCTGAGGGTTGTCTTCTCACTCTACTTATTGTTTCTCTGGCTGTGCAGAAGCTTCTCAGTCTAATATAGTTCCATTTGTCTATTTTGGGGACTATTGCCTGTGCTTTGGAGGTCTTTTTAAAAAATTTTTGGCTACTCCAAGGTCTCCAAGAGTTTTTCCTGTGTTTTCCACCAGTATTTTTATAGTTTGAGGTTTTATGTTTAGGGTCTCAGTCCATTTTGAGTTAATTTTTGTTAGCGGTGAGAGATAAGGATTTAGTTTCATTCTTCTGCAGGTGGATATCCAGTTCTCCCAGTACCATTTGCTGCAGAAATTTTACTTTTCTCACTGGGTTGTCTTGTGCCCTTAGTCAAGGATCAGTTGGCTGATTTATTTTGGGGTTTATTTTGGGGTTCTCAGTTCTTTTCCATTGGTCTGCCTGTCTGTTTTTGTGCCAATAGCATGCTGTTTTAATTATGGCTTTGTAGTAAGTTTTGAGGTTGGGAAGTAAGATTCCTCCTTCTTTATTCCCCTTGCACAATATTGCTTTGGCAAAATAGGGCCTTTTATGCTTCCAGACAAATTTTATGATTGTTTTTTCTATTTCCATGAGGAATATCTCTGGTATTTTGATTAGGATTGCATTGAATTTGTAGATTAATTTGAGTAGCATTGTCATCTTGATTATATATATATATTTTTTTTTGGAGAGATTTTCACTATAGGGCGCGTGTGCTCGCCAGACAGAGAGAGAGAGACATTAGAGACAGAAAGTGAGAAATCACCCCCCAGGGGGGATGGTCACACCACAATCCCTTCTCCTCCATTCTCCTCTCGGGATCTTGGGCACGCACGCACACACGCCTGGTGTGAGTTTTAAGCCACCGGGTCTGGGACGCGAACCGCGGTCAACCACGTGGGAGTCCAGCGACATAGCCATTACGCTAACTGCTGGTTCCCATCATCTTGATTATATTAATTCTTCCAATCCAAGAACATGGGATGTTTTTCCACTTTTTTGTATTATTTTAAATTTGTTTTTCTAAATGTTTCATAGTTTTCCTTATAGAGATCTTCGATGTCTTTGGTAAGGTTTATTCCTAGATATACTATTGGTTTTTTGGTTATCATAAATGAGATTTCTTTCTTCATTTCTGTCCTAGTGTTTCTATTGTTGGTGTATAAAAATACTACAGATTTTTGTATGTTGAATTTGTATTCGGCCACTTTATTATAGTCGTTTATCTTTTTCCAGGAGTTTTTTTCGTGGATTCTTTTTTTTTTTTTTTTTTTTAATGTTGAGCACCAGGTCATTTGCAAATAGAGATAATTTCACTTTTTCTTTTCCTATTTGGATGCCTTTTATTTGGCTCTCTTGTCTAATTCCGTTGGCTAGAACTTCCAGCGCTATGTTAAAAAGGAGTGGAGAAAGTGGGCAGCCTTGTCTTCAGTTTTTAGTGGAAAGGTTTTCAGCTTTTCCCCATTCAGTATGATGTTAGCTATTGGTTTTTCATAGATGGCTTTTATTGTGTTAAGGAATGTCCCTTCTATGCTGATTTTACTGAAAGTCGTAATCATGAAGGGAAGTTGTATTTTATTGAATGCTTTCTCTGCACCGATTGATATGATCAATGGTTTTTATCTTTCTTTTTGTTAATGTAAGGTATTACATTTACTGTTTTGTGTATGTTGAACTATCCTTGCATCCCTGGAATAAATCCTACTTGGTCATGGTGTATAATCTTTTTAATTTGTTGAATACGATTCGCTACTCTCTCTTTGAGAATTTTTGCATCTGTATTCATCAGGGACATGGGCCTGAAGTTTTCTTTTTTTGTCATGTCCATTTCTGGTTTCGGAATTAAGATGATGGAGGCTTCATAGAACAAATCAGGAAGATTCCTTTATTTTGAATTTTTAGAAATAGTTTAAGGCAAATTAGGGTTAGTTCTTCCT